GGGTGTTTATAACTACAGCACCCTGGACCACGGACGTGGGGGTGTTTATAACTACAGCACCCTGGACCACGGACGTGGGGGTGTTTATAACTACAGCACCCTGGACCACGGACGTGGGGGTGTTTATAACTACAGCACCCTAAACCACGGACGTGGGGGTGTTTATAACTACAGCACCCTGAACCACGGACGTGGGGGTGTTTATAACTACAGCACCCTAAACCACGGACGTGGGGGTGTTTATAACTACAGCACCCTGGACCACGGAGGTGGGGGTGTTTATAACTACAGCACCCTGGACCACGGACGTGGGGGTGTTTATAATAACAGCACCCTGAACCACGGACGTGGGGGTGTTTATAATAACAGCACCCTGGACCACGGAGGTGGGGGTGTTTATAATAACAGCACCCTGGACCACGGACGTGGGGGTGTTTATAATAACAGCACCCTGAACCACGGACGTGGGGGTGTTTATAACTACAGCACCCTGAACCACGGACGTGGGGGTGTTTATAACTACAGCACCCTGGACCACGGACGTGGGGGTGTTTATAACTACAGCACCCTGGACCACGGACGTGGGGGTGTTTATAACTACAGCACCCTGGACCACGGAGGTGGGGGTGTTTATAACTACAGCACCCTGGACCACGGACGTGGGGGTGTTTATAACTACAGCACCCTAAACCACGGACGTGGGGGTGTTTATAACTACAGCACCCTGAACCACGGACGTGGGGGTGTTTATAACTACAGCACCCTAAACCACGGACGTGGTGGTGTTTATAACTACAGCACCCTGGACCATTGACAAGAGGTGGCCATAACTAACAACAACTCCCCGTGACAACATTGAAGATTGGTCACGATTGTCGGATTCATTCATTTAGAAAAAGTTTTAAATTTGTAATTCTTATAATGAGATAGTATCTTTTCTGTTTCCCTCTCTATAAGTAAATGTTTTACCCTTAGCATTTTTAGGAGAAAACATTTTACCCTAAGCACACTCCATGAGAAACCATTTTTACACTTTGCAGTTTCCACTAGAAAACATTTTACCCTTAGCAATTTCCGTAAGGAAATATTATACCCTAAGACTATTTGATAATATATCGTTTGAACGTTTAGCAATCTCCATGGGACAACATTTCTTCTTTAAGCACTTTATATTAAAAAAGATTTTGCCTTAAGCACTTACAATGAGAAAACATTTTACCCATATAACTTTATAAGTCTGATCTATCAGTGATGGAATATTTCTACAATTAAATATCTGACCTATCAGTGATGGAATATGTCCGCAATTAAAATGTCTGACCTATCAGTGATGGAATATGTCAACAATTAAAAGGTCTGACCTATCAGTGTTGGAATATTTCCACAATTTAAAGGTGCCAAATGGGGCTTATCAATTATTGCCGTTACATGTTTCTACTATACTATAATTAGTTTCAGCTTTCTATAAGAGGTTTAGAATACCTATCTCTTATATCACTGAACATCATACCTGTTATGTAGAGCTTGTTTACATAATTTTTCTCGTGCGTGCACTCTGATTGATCCCGCATGAGACGCTGTGTTCACAGATGGGTGTGGCTTAGTCTTTTAATGTGTCGTGTTGATGCCGACAGCCACTAAAAATAATTAATCTGTTCCAAATAGTATTTTGTAGAATGATTGTGATTGTTCTAGAAACGTCATAAGCCTTTCTGGAAGGCAGGGCTTACGCGACCTATATAAGGGATTGACAGGCACGGACGGAGAGACGGAGATTTTATTAACTTCACGAGACGTGTATTATTCTTTGTGTTCTTATATATGTGTTTATGTCGCATTTCATCATTATTCATTGGCACATTATTCTAACTGTGTTAACTGTGTACCGGTACAAGATCTTCCATACTGTAAGTTGATGATTTGTAATGATATTTCTTTTCTTTTGTAATTACATTAATACTTATTAAATCTTATTAATTGTAACTAGCAACTGTTTTGGGTTTAATTTTGTTGACTCTATGGTATCGTCCTTTGTTAGGCACTGTTTACAACGAGCCAAATAAAATTAGAATAGGAGATTAATTACTCATATTAGAAGCCAGTGTGTAACACTATCTCTTATGTCACTGAACATCATACCTATCTCTTTTGTCACAGAACATCCATACCTATCTCTTATTTCACTGAACATCATACCTATCTCTTATATCACTGAACATCATACCTATCTCTTATATCACTGAACATCATACCTATCTCTCTTGTCACTGAACATCATACCTGTCTCTTATGTCACAGAACATTATACCTATCTCTCTTGTCACTGAACATCATACCTATCTCTTATATCACTGAACATCATACCTGTCTCTTATATCAATCACCTCATAAATATAATTTATTTAATCATACCTTATGCATTCCACTGATAGTAGAGACATATATAACAACTAATTGTCCCTCGGCGATGTAGTTTCATCCAACGTACCACAATAGACTGAATTTAGAACCACTGAAAATATAAACTATAAACGCTCGCTAGGGGATAGGAAAAATAATTTTCCAACGCCCCCCCCCCCCACACACACACACAAGAAACCCCCCGCCCCCCAAAAAAAAAAAATAAAAAAAAAAATAAATAAAAAATAAAATAAAAATAAAAAAATCTCACAGCAGTTGATTATGCCAAGTGTTGAGTTTCGGACTTGACCTAGAGGAAAGTGTCAGATTGACTAAAGTGAGCGGATGACATTTCCAACAGATTTTGTCCGTATGAGACTTACCCAATACAAGTAAAAAATACCAGATTTGATACAAATGTTCCTGTAACTCTATAGAAGACCAGATGAAGACATCATTGTGACTTAACCAATGCAAGTATAGAAGACCAGATGAAGACATCATTGTGACTTAACCAATGCAAGTATATAAGACCAGATGAAGACATCATTGTGACTTAACCAATGCAAGTATAGAAGACCAGATGACGACATCATTGTGACTTAACCAATGCAAGTATAGAAGACCAGATGAAGACATCATTGTGACTTAACCAATGCAAGTATAGAAGACCAGATGACGACATCATTGTGACTTAACCAATGCAAGTATAGAAGACCAGATGACGACATCATTGTGACTTAACCAATGCAAGTATAGAAGACCAGATGACGACATCATTGTGACTTAACCAATGCAAGTATAGAAGACCAGATGAGGACATTTTTGTGACCTACCCAATATGAGTATTGAAGACCAGTTAAAGACATTTTGACCTACCCAATACAAATATAGAAGACCAGTTAAAGACATTTTGACCTACCCAATACAAATATAGAAGACCAGTTGAAGACATTATGACCTACCCAATACAAGTATAGAAGACCAGTTGAAGACATTGTGACTTACCTAATACAAGTATAGAAGACCAGTTGAAGACATTGTGACCTACCCAATACAAGTATAGGAGACCAGTTGAAGGCATTGTGACCTATCCAATACAAGTATAGAAGACCAGTTGAAGACATTATTATGACCTACCGAAATCAAGTATTGAAGATCAGTTGAACACATTATTGTGAACTACCAAATACAAATATAGGAGACGAGTTGAAGACATTATTGTGACCTAGCCAATGCAAGCATGGAAGATCAGTTGAAGACATTATTGTGACTACCCAATACAACTATAGGAGATCAGTTGAATACATTATTATGACCTACCCAATGCAAGTATGGAAGGTCAGTTGAAGACATTATTGTGACCTACCCAATGCAAGTATAGAAGTTCAGTTGAAGACATTGTGACCTACCCAATACAAGGATAGAAGACCAGTTAAAGACATTGTGACCTACCCAATACAAGTATAGAAGACCAGTAAAAGACATTGTGACCTACGCAATACAAGTATAGGAGACCAGTTAAAGACATTGTGACCTACCCAATACAAGTATAGAAGACCAGTAAAAGACATTGTGACCTACCCAATACAAGTATAGGAGATCAGTTGAAGACATTGTGACCTACCCAATACAAGTATAGTAGATCAGTTGAAGACATTGTTGTGGCATAGGGAAACAAAAAGCTCACACAGATAATAAACACTTTAGGACTTTTAATTTTAGGCATTTGTGACATGATATGGACACAATGACAATGACACTGCATTCAAATATAGAACAATGACATATTTGTTAAATTAACTTATCGGATCCTACAATTCATCGTTTCTTAATGTCACAATGTTGAGATATGTGTTGCAGGATATTAATACAAATAATGGAACTAGCCATTTTTTATATAACAAATAAAATGGTCATTTGAAACAATACATCACACATTATAGTATCCATGTAATGTAATACACACATTAAAGTATCCATGTAATGTAATCTAATGACGATATTGATACTAAAAATAATACTTTGCTGAGTAAACACCTGTAATGTACTGGAACACAGATGCTTTGTGAAATACTTAAATCTTGTGTTAATAATTGTAGTAGTTTCTTTAAGTGTAATGCAAAAGAACATTTTAAAAATGGCTGCCACAAAAACTCCATCTCTTATCTTAGTATTATTGACTGGATCTTAATATAGAATCTAGACCAGTGGCTCTCAACCTTCCTAATGAAACGACCCTGTAATACAATTCCTCATGTTTTGGTGACCCCCAACCATAAAGTTATTTTCGTTGCTACTTCATAAATATGTGTTTTCCGATGGTCTTAGGCGACCTCTGTGTAAAGGTCGTTCGACCCCATACCAAAGGGGTTGCGACCCACAGGTTAAGAACCGCTGATCTAGACCATCAAACTCACAAACAATTTTAATAGAAACAACGAATGTACATTATCTATAGTTTAATACATTTATTCCTAGTTCTGTTTGAATGTATGGTGAAATATTCCACTGTTCCTTCACATCCCACGAATATTGGAATTTTTATCTACGCTAACTGTTTTATTCTGTGTGTTCCCGATGTCTGGATTAATGGCGCGCTATCTGCGAGGTCCAGGGCTTCTGTAGGCTGACGGCGACCGTGCACCGATCAGTCTCTTAAAGGCCACTTTGAAGTCGTCATTGAAAAGGGTATACAGGACGGGATTAAGGCTGGAGTTGACGTAGCCCAGCCAGATGATGGCGGCCACAAAGTGCTGGTTCATGTGGCACGTGTCGCACACGCTGCGGAGAATGTACATGAAGAGGAACGGCATCCAGCACACGCAGAAGCACGCCATGATCAGCAGCATGCGTTTGGTGGCCCGCTGTTCGCGGAGCTCAAAGCGACGTTTCATGCTCAGGGTCATGTGTTTGTTGCGGACGAGCCCGCCGACGTTGCATTGAAGAGACCTTCGGGGACCGGCCAAACTGCCGAGAGGGTCCCCTGTCTCCGACGTGAGTGCCGTGGCGCTCTTGCTGCGGTGGCAGACGTTCGAAATGAGAAGCTCGTGCTTGCTCACATCGAGGTTGACCATTTCCGAGGCGCTTCTCTGTATGACGGCGTTGTGGCTGTTCCTGCGGTCAAAGTCCATCATGTGTAAAATGTTATTGGTTAAGGGTTTGCATTTCTTTTCGAGCTCAGTCGGTAAGGCGAAGCTGTTGCTTCGTTTGGTATGCAGGCCCGATACATAGGGCGTCTCGTGCACGGTCCGGTGGTGGTGCCCATTTAGAGGCGGGACATCCTCAGTAAGTTCGATGGGCGCCGTGGCTAGGACCCGGGGGTCGTCTTTGCCGTTAGATGTAAGGTCTGCCGAACTACCGACTGCGTCTGAAAGGAGTGTGGTGTTGGTTACATCTCTGCCGAGTCCGTTGATGCCTTCTCTCGAGGGTTCGTTTATCACAGGACAACCATTGTATTTGCTGGATGAGATTTTAAGGCCTGACTTGAATTTGACTCCCCGGGACTGGTTGTGTAGAACAACAAAAATTCTGACGTACATAAACGCCATGAGTATAGCGGGAATGACGAAAGAACCCATCGACGAATACAACACGTAACTACTGGAGGTGAAGAGAATGCACTGGTATCTCTGAATGCTTGCGTTGAACGAGAAGAAGCTTGGAATCATGTGTTGCCATCCAATGAAAGGCGCAAACGAAATGACGATTGAAAATATCCAGACGAACACTATACATCCTACAGCCTTGCGGACTGACCGCTGGTCATGGTACCACACGGGGTAGACGGTGGCCAAATAGCGATCGAAGGCAACGGTGCAGAGGCCCCATATCGAAGCTGTGCAGTAGAGGACGTCCATACACAGCCACAGCGTGCAGGTGAACTCACCAAACACCCAGTAGCCCAGGAGGTCGTGGACCGTCGATATGGGCAGGACCGTTACGGCCAACAACAGGTCGCTGATGGCCAGATTGCCAATCAAGCAGTTTGACATGGTCCGGAGGGTCCCGTAACGATATAAGGCCATGAGAACGAAGAAATTTCCTAAGATTGTCCATAGTGTTATCAGAGTCAGCACCACGGCCACTGTAATGAAGATGGTGATGGAGTCGTATTTGGTGGAGCACACGGGTTGCATCAGTTGCCATTCTTGGCTGAAGTTAGCTCCACATAACCACACGTCTGCGCTGACGCTGAAGTTTCTGGGAAAGAATGTTGAAAAGTTGGCCCCACGGGCAGTCGGAAATGTGATTGCATGGTGATATGACGACACCACGAGATTGGCGCGAAACGATTGGTTCACGTCTGCAAATAGTGCGATGGGAAACGACATCATGGCGGTGCCTGGCAGGACAGGGTTCCCATTGTTGTGCCACTCAGTCCTTAAATAAAGTTTCACTTTAAAGGGTCAGCTTATTTATAAAAGGTGACCCTTGTCTTGCCGGAGCTGTAAGCAATGGACCACTAAAAACCATAATGCCACGTCACTTCCTATGCCCACAGTTGCGAGTTAGCCCTCATTCTGCTATCGTCTGACCTGAAATATAAATAATTCTGGTCAATGGCGTAGGTTGCAAGGGAGAAGATCATGGCCGGTATGGGATTGGTGGAGATTTGATCACGAATGATAGCTGAGTTATGGCAATACATGTGGCGCTCTTCGTGTTTTCTAGTCTTAGATATCTTGCTCAAATGTGGGGGAGGGGTATTAAGTACATTCCCCTGTTATTAAATACGTCTGTCTTCTATACACCCGTGTTTACCAGCGTGGGGCATGCGATCCTTTAAAGGGGGACGGAGCAATGTTAAAAATTATTTGTAGGAAAATAAATCTATTAATGTCTCAAATAAAAAGAGGGATGTTGCTCAATACTACCATATGTAAGGCATATTTGATTTCTGTTTTAGCTTTAATGTGTGTTTGTTTTTTTCTAAAAGGAGCACCGCGAAAGATTACAAAATGTTTCAAAATTGTATTTCCACTTTCAATCCAATCCTACATAACATGACATTTAGTGGGCCTGGTGTAAAACCAGTAACTGAGTAATTACAGTTTTCAGTAGCTCCTACAAATTTTTACTTGATTGGGCTTAACACCTGCATATGTAAATATTATGTGATATATTTATTTTTACCCAGCCCTCTAATTAAAAAAAAAATAGTTTGAAAATGCCCGAGTTTGACATAATGCCTGGAACAAACTTAAATTGAACAAACTTAAATTGAACAAACTTAAATTGAACAAACTTAAATTGAACAAACTTAAATTGAACAAACTTAAATTGAACAAACTTAAATTGAACAAACTTAAATTGAACAAACTTAAATGGAACAAACTTAAATTGAACAAACTTAAATTGAACAAACTTAAATTGAACAAACTTAAATGGAACAAACTTAAATTGAACAAACTTAAATGGAACAAACTTAAATTGAACAAACTTAAATGGAACAAACTTAAATTGAACAAACTTAAATGGAACAAACTTAAATTGAACAAACTTAAATTGAACAAACTTAAATTGAACAAACTTAAATTGAACAAACTTAAATGGAACAAACTTAAATGGAACAAACTTAAATTGAACAAACTTAAATGGAACAAACTTAAATTGAACAAACTTAAATGGAACAAACTTAAATTGAACAAACTTAAATGGAACAAACTTAAATGGAACAAACTTAAATTGAACAAACTTAAATTGAACAAACTTAAATGGAACAAACTTAAATTGAACAAACTTAAATTGAACAAACTTAAATTGAACAAACTTAAATTGAACAAACTTAAATTGAACAAACTTAAATGGAACAAACTTAAATTGAACAAACTTAAATTTAACAAACTTAAATTGAACAAACTTAAATTGAACAAACTTAAATTGAACAAACTTAAATTGAACAAACTTAAATGGAACAAACTTAAATTGAACAAACTTAAATTGAACAAACTTAAATTGAACAAACTTAAATTGAACAAACTTAAATTGAACAAACTTAAATTGAACAAACTTAAATTGAACAAACTTAAATTCAACAATCAAAAAAGATTAGGAACCACTGGCTAAGCCCAACAAAATTATTACGCCACTAGCACCGAATCCTAGAAAACGGAACAATAGACTGACTATACAGCTATTAGTGCGATGGCAAGTCTTCTAACGTGTGAAAACCTCAGACAACTCTTTGACGATAATTAGACGGCACGGCGTGATATTTTTGGTCATTAGAAATATAAAATGACTTGATAGACAAGTGAATGCAAATAGTAAATATCTTTGAATTTGAATATTGCTGACAGACGCATTCGTGTATAATCTGAACCCATAAATTAAGGTGCAATTTTTACCATACATTTCTCTTATTCTACGCGGTTATATTTGGTTTTTGCAAGTACACACTCTTTGTAGTTGTGTTTTATTTAAGAAAAATAATTTCAATGACATTTGGACAATTAAGATTATTCTCAAAATACTAGAATAAATGACCCGATGTTATCGGGATAATAATGGTAGGTCCTTTGCAAAAATTTCTAAATGCTATTGCAAAACCTCATCCCAAGTCATAACTTTTAAAATGTAATGATATTTACATTTCTAACATCATTAAGTTTTGAGAAATGTTTATCTGCTATATATGATACGCGTTCTCTACACCCTTTCACGCTCCTAAAGTAAATTCCCACTCTAAACGTGATCTTAAATTACCCAGTCTAAATTACCAATAATTATATCACTTTTGTCACTAAAGAAGTTTATTGAGGGACAATAACGACGCTAGAAAAATACTTTAGATTTACCTCTTTTCGTGCCCTTGCATTACAACTTTTTTCTCTCAAAATTTAAAAAAAAACCCTAATCTTAAATTTACAACAAAAACTCTATATATGATACAAATATTTTGATATTCATGGAAATACTTATATAAATGTACCCAAGATTTGTTAACGCCATTGATTTTCTTAATTGGTTAACATATGTTTATTTGTAAAAAGAGAATTTAACATCGCTTTTTTCACAAATGTAATACAATAGTATTTAAATATATTGTCATCGATGTGTAAGTACCCAAGAAGGTTAATTATTATTATAATTTATTCCTTTATTTCGGGACGTATCTTGTATTACATTGAGCAAAATGTACATACCAATATTTGTAAATAGAGAATGTAACACTTTATTTTTTCACAAATTGAATACCATAGGAGTTAACTCTGTTGTCATCCACGTAAGAATTTAAACATCTTATTTCCTACCTCCGACATGTATTTACCTAAGAAACTTAATTATTTATCAAGATCATTCCTTTAATTTGAGACGTATCTTGTGCTTCCTAAGACAAAATTAACATACCCATATTTGTAAAAAGAGAATGTAGCATCTTTTTTTTTCACAAATGTAATACCATAGAATTTAAATATATTGTCATCCAAGCAAAAATGTACACATCCTATTTCCTACATACGATATGAATGTACCCAAGAAGGTTAATTATTTATCAAATTCATTCCTTTATTTTGAGTCATATCTTGTGCTGCCTGGGGCATAGTGACCAACCCCTCCCCCACCAAGATTTAAATAAATTTAGAAAATCTCCCAACGGATTGTAGTCCCTTCCATACCCAAAATAACATATTTTGCACTTCGTATGGTTCGTTCTTATTTGCATGAGGTATAAGTGGATTAGTGAATGCTATTTAGCTATGGAGTTGCGCTGCACTGATGGACTTAAACCGGTTTTTCTTATTAGAATTATATTTAAAGGTTAGTTTTTATTACGTTATAAATTTAATAAAAGTATACTTTTAGAATTAAAAAAATTGTAAAAATATGCAAAGCTAAAATGTGTGTGTGTTTTAATAACAATTTAAAAAGCAATCAATTTTATTTATTAATTTTACTTTTAAGAAGTTAAAATACTTTATCAGTTTTATCACGCGCGGTTATCAAATTTAAAGAAACCTAAGAGTTTTGGCAAGATAGGTTATTTGCGCTATTACGTCATTTGGGTGATTATTTAGAACAAATTAATTTTTAATTTTATTTCGCAATATTAAATACACACTAAAAGACGCAATTAAAGGGACTGATGTTTGGGTTTACCCGATAAATGTGATTACGGTGTAATTCTTTGATCGTGATTTTTTTATTTTTTAAATATTTTTTCATTACTTTCAAACACATATAAAATGCTTAAAATAGTTCTTTAGTCAAAACTTTAAATGTATTTGTAATTTATAATAATATAACTTTAACTTTTAATAAAAATAAAAGCAGATTTAAATTATTTTGTGCGCATTTAAATTTATTCGATTTCCGTAAAATAATAGACAATAACTATGATTGTTTTTAGAAATCCGAACGTACTTAAATCATATCTCCCTTTTGACGCTATGTCACTCTATCTCATTCTTATATATATAAAAGTTAATCCAATCTAATTCTATTACAATTATGCATCCAGTTAGTCAAGAGACAATTAGTGCTGCGTGCACCAATAAAACCATGCATTAAACGGTTACGACCGACCCAGCCGCAGCGCAAAATCGTGTTTTTTTTTCTACATTTCTATAGCTCATATAAAGAAAACCACGAATAGGCCAACGTGAATCACCAGATCGCGACCTTTCCCATGGCATGCAATGCGTCTCCCAGGAAGATCAATAATAAAACAATATTTCACAAATCATTCACAAGTACCAACACCTCACCACTTATGACAAACAACATCCTTCATAATTACCAACATCTCACCACTTATGACAAACAACATCCTTCATAATTACCAACATCTCACCACTTATGACAAACAACATCCTTCATAATTACCAACATCTCACCACTTATGACAAACAACATCCTTCATAGTTACCAACATCTCACCACTTATGACAAACAACATCCTTCATAATTACCAACATCTCACCACTTATGACAAACAACATCCTTCATAATTACCAACATCTCACCACTTATGACAAACAACATCCTTCATAATTACCAACATCTCACCACTTATGACAAACAACATCCTTCATAATTACCAACATCTCACCACTTATGACAAACAACATCCTTCATAGTTACCAACATCTCACCACTTATGACAAACAACATCCTTCATAATTACCAACATCTCACCACTTATGACAAACAACATCCTTCATAATTACCAACATCTCACCACTTATGACAAACAACATCCTTCATAATTACCAACATCT